AGGCCGTCGCTTCTAGTTTGGAGGCCATCGAGGCCATCGCTTCTAGGTGTGGTATTTTTGCTCAAGACCTTGGCTGCCAAACATGTTTTTTCGTGCACATGGTTCGGACGACATCTCAGCAAAGGCTGAAGAATCCTCCAGAGAGGGGCACATAGGGGCACATCTGAAAATTGTCAGTCTCCTCAGGCTAGCAGGTCTCTTGATGTCTTTTCCGCCAGGTGATATCCTGCTGTTGAAGAATGGTGAAGTCTTGCTTGATGACCAGCGGCTCTACTTACATCAAGGCCGTTGGTCATCGATCGATGTCTCACCCGCTCCATCGGTCCGATCGCTCCATTCGGTTCGGTCTTGGCTCCCCGTTCGGTTGCCCCGTTCGGGTCTGCGGTCCGATGGTTCTGGATCCGGATGCGCCGGAGGAAAACAATCGGTGTGTCGAAACGAATTGGGGGAGGGTCGGGAGGGTGGCGAAAAAGACCACTGTTGTTGGGGAGTGGCTACATTTGGGATGTCCAATCACTTTGCACTTTGCTAGACGGGTGTTCCTGCTAGACTTCTGGGGTGATCAATTGTGTCGCCCAAGACAAATCTGTTAATGATGATGATGATGATGACTTTAGACCTTGCCCTTTTGGTGTTACAGGGATGAGGGGACCGGGCCTTTGCTCCTTCCCTTTGGGAATGAGGACACCTGCCACTGCTGAAATCACGGATTTGTTTGATCACTACACCGAAGATATCGTCAAGACAAAAACTGGTCAGTTGTTTGTCAGAGACCCTGCCGTTGTTTGACAATCAGAGGATGATAATTTGGAATCTGCATGAAGCTCCTTTGGCAGAAGTCTTCATTCCAATTCCGCCAGTTTCTATGTTGGCATGGCTCGTTTTGAAAGGCTCGTACTTGTGCACACATTCAATGTGCTTTCAAAGGCAAAGCCAAGATATTGGGCTTACGATGGCTTACGTACGGTTTGACCGGAGTACTCCCTCAGAGCTTCTGCGCGATAGAGACTCTTGTTGTTTGAACATGTTTGAACGATCTTTCAGAAGCTCAAAACGGCAGACCCTCATTTTGGAATCCTGTTAAGTTTTAAGTCTCTGGGACGGGACCTCCCAAGAGCCTCCCATTCCTGCCGGTTCCGGACCTTTTCCTGATAGCAACGCCCGGCCTGGTCCGGTCGCTTCGATCGGTCGACGATTTGGGTTTTGGACTTTCGGAACGACTGGACTTTCGAGCATCAAATGTTGTTCAAAGTGACAGGGTCATGATGATTCCGAATCAAAGCGAATTGCTACATCTAATACCCACCAACTCTCGCTGGACCGGGTCGCCTAACAGAGGCTCTTAGTGGATCTGTCTGGTCGGTTTCCGGGCTTTCGACGATCCCATCGCACCGGTCTACCGGAGACCGTGGGGTGGCTCGGTCTCCCGGGAGATACCGATCCCCTACGGTTCACCGCGAAGCGTAACCGGGTCTCCCGGTCGTTCAGGACATGGCCAGTTGCTTCGGGATGGATTCCTTACGCTGCACTTCCAGGAGTTCTGGGTGCCGGAGTTCGGGGCCGGCAGGGAACATCAGCGTTGCAGCGTGTTTACCAGGGTTGAGTATAGTAGTCGAGTAAAATAGAAGCGTTTTGTGAGGTTTGTTGATTCCTCTCGACATGATTCTCAATTCGAGTGTCTTCACCTCAGTTCTTCACTGCTCAAGACCGACCTTCAAAGGCTAAGAACCCGTTTGATTTGCACAGCAGTACCGACGCGGACCAGGATGTTGAAGTTCATCGGACGTGACTAGACACGAGCCTTTGAACCACTGTAGAATCACATGAAACGTCCAAAGACTATGGGTGCATGACCGTGGTTGAAAGATGTTGAAGTCGACTCGTGGCTCGTTCTGATCCACGCTACGCTATAAGTTTAGATCCAGGAGTGAGGCTTAGCAGGCTTAGCATGTGGAAGTTCATCTATAGCTGACAGTTTGGGGTCTGCAACTCCCACATTGAGAAGGCAGGCCAGAAGAGACATGAGACATGTAACATGTAGAAGGATTTCCTGCACAAAGGATTTGGGGATGTTCTAAAAGGATGTACTTTACTTTATAAATGGATATTGTTCTCTTGAACAGGTAGAACACGTCTGCTCCAGACACTGTTTGTTAACTTGAAGAAGTGTTTGGCAGCAAAGAACCGAAGGGATTGGAATGATTACGGCAAGTGCTTTTAGCAATAACAACAACTGCACAAGTACGCGTACAGATGTAATCAGAAGTAGTACTGTAAGTTATCGTACAAATAAAGCAACAACATGCTCGCATACCCACTGAGAAGGTAGTTGGGGTACCTTTTGAGAAGGTGGTTGGGTCCAATTAGATCCCCAATCTATGGAGTCAAACGCTACATCTCAGTTTCTTTTCACGCTGCACACTCGAGGAGGTGCCAAATATTAGCGTGGAATGGGAACCCATGGAGAAGGAGGACGCTCCAGCTGCAGGACATGATTTGTGCCGTTCAAGTCAAACGCACAGCAGCACAGGACACTTATCACTTGCAGGTCTGTGTGTGCAGCTTGGAAGGAATCACAGGGTCTGACTTCCAACCGCTCTCGGAACCGGTTTCAAGACTACCAACGAAGAAGCCGCCGTACTTGCTTGTGCAAACGTACCTGACCGCGCCTGGGCATCTACGTGCCTAGTGGGTGCTGCGCTGTCGGTTACTGGTTGGCCATTGCACCGGCAGTTCTGCAGTCACGCATTTCGATTTAGGAGACGTGCGTTCGTCGTTTGATTCACGTGCTAGATTCGTTGCCGGTTGCATCGTTCAACTTTCGAAGGCTTTGTGTATAGTTGAACCTTACTGCATAATACCAGTTTTGCTCAGGCAACTTTTTCACTCAGGCCTTGATGGGAGGTGGCGCAGTCACTCCGTACTGCTATTTTGTCAAGTGTGTGTGTATACATGTGTATACTATATATATATACATACATTATTTCATATTATTTCCTTTGGTATATTTGTATGACATACACTAGTACTTCTCTGTCTACATGGAAGCTATCTACGTACTACTACGTTGGATGCGTTTGCAGAGAAGCCTACATGACGTGCAAGACCCCATCAAGCCGACCCATACATGGTCATATATGCCATGGTTATGATTATATAATAGTATGTGCAAACCACATCGCACCACATGCCAGCAACAGGTCGGCCAAGTGACAGAGTGTTGCTGAAACATTGCACGTGATACCCAGAGGGAGCCTCCCATTGCACGAAAGTGTCCACCACAACAAATCAGGAATACCTACAGTATACACACAAAACAAATCTAATTCCGTATCAATATATTTGGAAGGTTGTTCGGCAGTATCAAAACAAACCACACGATCAAATATTGCGTGTCATTGTTTGGCGATCCATCATGTTCACTCTTAGTTTCACCCCAACAAACTGCAGAAAAAAAGAAACAAATGTATGTTTCAATATGTTCCAAGTTCTTGCCTCGTGTAACCACTCAGACTGATCGCACATAATTTTGACAACATCTAAACAGAGCACAACCCCGGAACTCCCAACTCAGTTCCACTTGGTGTCCTTGCCATTCAGGTGTGATTTGCAAATCAGGCCGTTTTTTGGTTTGGTAGGATCCCTGAAAGTGATGGGCGGCCCGCAATATGATCATCATATGCACAGAATTGCATAGATATATATATATAGATATTTGAATATTTTGAATACATTGATACTCATTTACATCGGCCCTGACGTCTCATGTGCGCGATCCTACTCTCCATTGCTGTGCGACCATCCATCCCACTTCCCCAGGACACCGCTGTTTCCTGTGTGGCGCGGAGGAGAGCTATGGCGGCTATGGTTTGTTGGGACAAATCATGTCAAGTCAAAGCCAGCCCAACATGATGGCTTTCCGACATGGGTGTGGATCTAAAAGCTCCTGGTGGTCTTCCAAAAAGGTTTGTTAACAGAGTGGCAAAGTGCAGACATGATGAGTTTCTCTGACAGGTTGGGACTCAGGTAATTCCTTTCGAGTCGTTCTTTTACCCGTCTAGGACCACAGTGCGCCAGACTGCCAGTTTGTGGCGCATGGTGTGGTCCTCCGCAGCGTGCAGATGGAGGATCTGGACAGGCCGGACGAGGGTGAACGTGGAGCATCGGAGCGACATGCCACCATCCTCTAAAGAATGGGCTGATGCCACACCCTTTGTGCTAATATCTAAGGGGGTTCATGCGACCTTGAGGATCATGAAGTTACTTCATGTTGTTTCCTTACTTCAAGTAGCCACGTCATGACATAGTTAGCAGGGCTGGGCTTGTGCGACTAGCTTCGCGTCTCGCCCATCCTGGAGACTAAGCCGCCACGTCGCATGCGTCTCGCCTGATTTCAGGATTCAGCAGAACGAGACGTTAAACACTGTTCCCTGAGGCATCCCAAGACACCACTGCACCGTATCCCAAGACACCAGAACTCAAGAACCGTGACACCACCAGGACCACCGGACCACTTTTCCACGACCGGTGCACACGGGTGAAGTAGGACTGCTATCAGCTAGCACTCTCTACAACCATCTACAGCCTGAAACGTTGCAGCTTGCCAGCTACTTAGCACCTACTTCTTGTCGTTCAGAACCTTGCTTGCCTTGTCCAAGCGGCTTGGCTTTCCTTCGAGGGCCCGGCGCTGGGCTCTGGTGGAAAAGGCCTTGGAGCAGCAGGGGCTTGGGTCCCTGATGACCATGCGCTGGTACAAGAAGGCGCTGGCCGCTTCGGCGGCTGGTGGGGTGGACACGTTAAGACGGGGCGTCGGGGCCCGGGGCGGATCAACGCCTTCAGCGGCCGCATCCGCGGGCCGTTGGTTTTGGGGGATGCTGTTTGAAAGTGGAAGTCCAGCTGGTAAAAGTGGATTCCATAACATGACATGGCTTCTGGAAGTCGAAGAAACCAGTCCTTTCCTTTAGTCACTTTAAGATGTTATAAGATTTCAATATTCTGACCTTGTCACCCTGGGCACCTCGAGTTCTGCAGGAGAAGCTAGACACTGGCTTGCTTTACATGCGACTCTCGAGCGCGGAACTGGCACAAGAGTTGATTGCGATGGAGGCACCACGCCTGGGACTGGGAGGACCTCTTCACAGCACACCTTTGGGAGATCTGTCGGCGTCCATTTCCCCGTTTTGCAAAGATAGATTGCTTTGCCTGTAGATGAGTTGGATCAAGAGTCCAACTCAAGTCAGTCAGTTAGCCCCCCAAAAGGTTATTACATGTTCAGCTCAGCAGTCCCAAGTCATCCAGCGCTGCGTGAGCTTGATGAGCAAGTTGGTTTGCCTTGATGATCAGTGACCTTTGACACATTTTGACGCAAAGAGGTCCACCAAAAGTCTAGTTGGTTGCCTGTTTTGGTAACTGGAGGGTTGTGGATGGTTTGGAGGAATACTGAGCTGATCCTTTATCAAACAGCGCAAATCAATGCAAATCATTCTTTGGAGCCGGTGTCAGTTGTTTATATACTGAACTCCTGTGTGGGATGAAGTCTCTCCAAATACTAATTTGCCCGAGCTCCCTCTCTCTCTCTCTCGCTCTCTACGATGGACTCAACGATTCAATACCAGCCAACTGAAGGGCTAACTCGAAGCTTTGGAGAGCGAGTTCGTGCCTTGTGAGCTTGGAGCTTGGAGAATGCCTGCTGGGACAACATGGCTTCCAGCAACATTCTCCAGCATCGCTTCCCGCGAGTCGTCTAGGAGCCATAAACAGAGCCCAGGTCTGCAAGTCTGAAAACACTTGGTCAGTGCGTCACCCCATTCGTCCTTTCAGGTTTGCCACATCGATCCTCCTTGATTTCAATGGATTCACTATGGATACATTACTTTGCAGGACTGATTGCTTCATCAAAGTGCCTCATTGCTACAGTTCATGAACAAGCCATGCTGTAGCACCTGGGAAACTTTGTGCACCCAATCTCGGTATGAATCCAATCAATCACCAGAGTCATCCAATCGCCGGCGACTCCGCAGCGCTGTTCGGCCGTCGACGAATCTTAACAGAAGCCTCATGGGCTCCGGGTCGGAGCAGGTTCTGGATCTTGGCGGAGAGAAGGCGAAAGTGTTCCCCATCACGAAGGCACACGTTTGAGCTTCGCATTGCGCCCGCGGCCGAAGCAAAACAGCAGGAATACCAGAGATGCGGGAGATGTATGGTGGAGACCTTGTTCTGCCATGAGAAAGAGATAAAAGAGAAAAGCAAGGGCCAGAACGAAGCAAAGGGTTGTTAGATAGAACATAATATAACTCTCTAGAGGGGGTTTCTAAAGCACCCGAAGGTTTGTGAAGACCCCGGTGGGTAAGGCGTTGGAGACGAAGCTGGGAGAAAGCATAGCTTTTTGGTACTGAATGACTTGGAGATCGTGGTGGAAGATACAGTCTAGACACTTGTGGTCCTTTGGGGATCAAAAAGCCGGTTTGGGGGGATGTGGTGTGATGCGATCTGGATAGGCTTCCATAGACAGCTTGTTTGTCCTTGGCTCACCTTCAAAGGCTGTCCTTTCCTTATCCTTATATCCACTTCTGCACCTGTTGAGGTGATGTTTGGGGATACAGCAATTCCCCAAACAACCAAAAAGACATGGATGTTTCATGATGTTTCCCCAATAATCATTATGTAAAGGATTTCAATTGCCATATTGGAACAACCACTTGTTTCTGGTTGTTTGGGTTTCCAGATTTAAAGATGCTAAGTTGAGTTTGCTCCGTGCCAAGCTAAAGGAGCTTCGTTTCCAACTGCTCTCGGCTTTCTTCCCTGCTTCCTCCCATCTCCATGGATGCCCCGAGCCTTTCTGCCAGAGTAAGACCAAGCAGAATTCCAAGAAGCCGATGCATGTGACGCCTGTGCCCAAAGCAGGACACCCAGATCGTGACTGACTCGAGTGGGTCGCCCCTTTCAGTTCACTTCCTCGAATGCGGCGAACCTGTCGATCGCTCCATGTCTCGCGTTCGTGTCTGTGGCTTGGGACTGTCCGACAGATTAGGCGGGTAGGTGGGCAGCCGCAGATCTGGTCAATGAACATGCCAGGAATGGTTGGGGGGGGGGCAGATCTGCAACCCAAGGCCTTTCGTGGTTGTGAGAGCAGGGGGATGGGTAGCATGGCATCCGCAGATTCTGCGGCACTTTGGGGGCCCAACAGCAAAGAGCATGGACTGCAATGATCCAACTTGAGCTTGATCACAGCAAGACAGTCTATAGTCTATAAGGTACAATTACCTGTGGGTGATAAATACATTGTCATCGCATATTTTTGTGGACTTGGCAGCTCCAGGAAATCCTCAAGCTGTACCCTCCCTACAATAATTATGGAAGTGGATGGCATGGCTCCTTGTTTTTTTCCACTTCATTCCACTTCCATGATTCTTTCAAGCTGTACTAGTATGGTTTAAACTGCCTTTAAGCCGTGCAGTGCAGTGTTGCGTGCGAAGTGTGGTGCTCACTTGTTCGGGGCCTCTCAGCCGGGCGTGGTAGGACTGCTTATGTAATTGAATCCGATCAACACTTGAAAGTCGAACCTGATAGAACCCACGAACCCGAATGCAGTCACTTTGTATAGAAGCGTAGCACTCAAAGCGTTCTTGTTTTCGGAGATGACTCGCAGAGTCATCAACTAAAGCAGCGCCAGCACCTCCCCAGCCCTGCGGACACTCTTGCTTGACAGTCTTGCTTGACACTCTTGCTTGACACTCTTGCTGGACACTCTTGACACGACACTCTTGCTTGACACTCTTTCTTGACACTCTTTGCTAGACAATCTTTCT